TAAGATCCAGTTAGTTATTGTTGTTGTTTAGGCAATAGTAATTATCTTGTACAAGATTGAACACTGGCAAGAAGGCATAATCCTGGTCTTTTGATTCCAAATTCCAGGCTCTTTCTCTTACCATGTGTTACTCTATTGAATGTTTATTACTTTCTTAAATGATTAAATACCACAGTACTGTTTGTTATCCAGGGACGCCAATGTATTCTATTATGCAGAGCTGCAAACTAAAGGTCACTGTAAGCGGAAAATAATATTGTTTCACTGTTCTTTGCACTTGTTTGTGAAGAAGAGCCACATATCAGACCATTGCTCAGCTTCTGAAGAACTATCCTTCCCAGGAGTTATAAATATTTGATATCAAAACCAATTTCTGTCCCACCAACTGAAAGGACTGCCTGTGATCTGACAGTATAAAGGCCATCATATCTTCTCTTGTGCTAAATGGTGACATCAATGGTTTGTCTCCCTTGCAAAGTTTTTTCCTAGTATATTGCTCTTACTTCCTCCAAACAAAACAACTGGTGCAGGTAGAAGTCACGCTAGCTTTCTGGTCCACTGCCTACTAAGGCATAAATAACTGGTGCCCTTGCTCCCTACATTAACTATCACTGGGCTTGGCATAGGTCCAGGTGCCCTGGGCACTGAACTTTGTGGAGTCTATAGAGTTATTTTCCAGACTGACTTTAGCCTGGTATGAACTTCCGGAGAAAGTCACACTGACTTTCCCACCTCATTTTAAAATAGTTTTTTTTAATTGTCAAAAAGAAACATTCACCAACATAGACCATATTCTGAGCCATAAGACAAAAATCAACACATTTCAAAGAATTTAAATCACACAAAGGGACTTCACTGAAAAATAATGGAATTAAACTAGAACTCAATAACAGACAGATATCTGGAAAAACACCAAATAGTCAGAAGTTAAGCAAAATAACATAGGCATCAACTAGGAAGTCACAATGGAAATGAGAAAATATTTTGAAATGAATCAAAATGAAAATACAACATATCAAGATTTCTGGGATGCATTTAATGTTGGACTTAGAGGAAAATTTATGGCATTAAATGCCTATATTAGAAAAGGAGAAAGATAAAAAAGGAATGATCTAAGCTTCCATCTAAAAGTAGAAAAAGCAGCTAAAAATAAAGCAAGAAGAAGGAAAAAAATAATGGAGATGAAATCAGTGAAAGTGAAAAACAAAACACCAGAGAGAAAATAAATTCAATCAAAAGGTTTCTCTAAAAGATCAATAAAATTGATAAGCCTTAGTAAAACTGATAAGGCAAAAGGAAAAAAAATCACTAATATCAAGAATGACACAGGGAACACTATTATATATATCCTATGGACATTAAAAGGATAATAAGGTATTATTATATATGAACATTAAAGGGATAATAACATAATGTTGTTATATACAAACAACTTTATGCCCATAAATCTAGGTGGAATAGGCAAACTCCTTGAAAGACCCAAACACTAAAGCTCATTCAAGAGGAAACAGTATCATGAATAGTTCTTTATTTTATTAAATAGAACTTGTAATTAAACCTACTTCAACAACAAAAATTCCAGGCTCAGGTGACTCTACTGGAAATTCTATAAAACATTTTAAGGAATAAATAATACCAATTTAATGTGAACTTCTCTATAAAATAGAAGAGAAGGAAACACTTCCCATTTCATTTTGTGAGATCAGCATTACTTACTATCAAAACCAGAGAGAACCATTACAAAATAAGAAAACTATAGATCACTGTCTCTCAGAAACAGTGCAAAAATCCTCGAAAAAATATTACTAAAAGACTCCAGCAATGTTATCAAAATGATAGGATATCATAACCAGATTGGTTTTATCCCAGGACTGCAAGGTCGGTACAGCATTTTTAAATCAATGTAATTCATTATACCAACAGACTAAATAAGGAAAATCACATGATCATTTCAGCAGATGCAGAAAAGTATTTCACAAAATTCAACATCCATTCACTATTTTTAAAAAAAAAAACACAAATTGGAATTAAAGTGAACTTTCTTAATCTAATAAGAGGCTTCTGTGTTAGTTCTATATTGCTGTATAACAAATAACCCTAAAACATAAATACCAAAGATTACAGTTTCTGGAAACTGAGAATCCAGGAATGACTTAGCTAGGTGCCTCTGAATCAAAGTCTTTCACAAGATTGAATTTACATTGTCAGCTGGGGCTACAGTCTCATTGAAGGCACACTGGAGTTGGGGTAGGCATGGGGAGGTCCACTTCTAAGCCCACTCACGTGGCTGTTGGCAGGATTTAGTTCCTCACAGAATACTGGACCGAGTGTGTAAGTCCTTCTTGGACGTTGGCCTCCTCAGTTCCTGCCATAGAGCAGCTCACAATATGGCATCTGGATTCTTCAGACAGTGAATCAGAGTACAAGAAAGCACCCAAGCTAAAATTCATATGGAACCACAAAAGACCTCGAATAGCCAAAGCAATCCTGAGAAGGAAGAATAAAGCTGGGGGGATTATGCTCCCCAACTTCAAGCTCTACTACAAAGCCACAGTAATCAAGACAATTTGGTACTGGTACAAGAAAAGACCCATAGACCAATGGAACAGACTAGAGAGCCCTGATATAAACCCAACCATATGGTCAATTCATATATGATAAAGGAGCCATGGACATACAATAGGGAAATGACAGCTTCTTCAACAGCTGGTGTTGGCAAAACCGGACAGCTACATGAAAGAGAATGAAACTGGATTATTGTTTAACCCTATAAACAAAAGTAACCTGAAAATGAATCAAAGACCTGAATGTAAGTCATGAAACCATAAAACTCCTAGAAGACAACATAGGCAAAAATCTCCTGAATATAAGCATGAGCAACTTCTTCCTGAATGCATCTCTTGAGCAAGGGAAACAAAAGCAAAAATGAACTCATGGGACTACATCAAACTAAAAAGTTTCTGTACAGCAAAGGACACCATCAACAGAACAAAAAGGCATCCTACAGTATGGGAGAATATATTTGTAAATGACGTATCTGACAAGGGGTTAACGTTCAAAATATATAAAGAACTCACACACCTCAACACCCAAAAAGCAAATAACCCGATTAACAAATGGGCAGAGGATATGAAGAGACAGTTCTCCAAAGAAGAAATTCAGATGGCCAACAGACACATGAAAAGATGCTCCACATCATTAATCATCAGGGAAATGCAAATTAAAACCACAATGAGATTTCACCTCACACCAGTAAGGGTGGCCAGCATCGAAAAGACTAAGAACAACAAATGCTGGTGAGGATGCGGAGAAAGGGGAACCCTCCTACACTGCTGGTGGGAATGTAAGCTAGTTCAACCATTGTGGAAAGCAGTATGGAGGTTCCTCAAAAAGCTCAAAATAGAAATACCATTTGACCTGGGAATTCCACTCCTTGGAATTTACCCAAAGAATACAACTTCTCAGACTCAAAAAGACATATGCATCCCTGTGTTTATTGCGGTACTTTTTACAATAGCCAAGATATGGAAGCAACTTAAATGTCCGTAAGTAGATGAATGGATAAAGAAGATGTGGTATATATACACAATGAAATACTATTCAGCCATAAGAAGAAACAAATCCTACCATTTGCAACAACATGGATGGAGCTGGAGGACATTATGCTCAGTGAAATAAGCCAGGCGGAGAAAGACAAGTGCCAAAAGGATTACCAGTTAGAAAGAACTAAAACTGCCTCTATTTGCAGATGACATGATTGTCTACATAGAAAACCCCAAAGGACTTAGAAGGGAGAAAACATCCAGATGGGGAAAAAAATACAAAAAATAAACAACAACAAAATGCTCAACATGAGAGATTAAGGAAAGCAAATTAAAACCACAAGAGACCCTCACCCACGTATTAGAATTACTAAAATCAAAACAAAACCAAGTGATGGCATAGGTGCAGAGTGACTGGAATATCTCTGGCAGGAATGTCACTCTGGAAGACATCTTAGCGGTTACAGTAACACATACTTATATGATCCAGCAGTACTCCTCTTACATATTATTTTTCCCCCAAAAAATGAAAACATACGTTCACATGAAAGACAATGCAAGAATGTTTATAGTAGCTTGGTTTATACTCACAAAAACTGGAAATAAGTCAAATGTTCTTCAAATAGGAATGGATTTAAAAAAATTGTTTTGTATCCATACAATGGAATACTACTGAGAAATAAAAAGGAATGAACTAAAATGAGTAATAAAAAGGAAGGATAAATGCAACAATTTGGATATATCTCAAATGCATTATAATAAGTAAAACAAGCTTAAGCTCAAAAGGCTACATAATGTGTAATTCTATTTATATGACATTCTGGGAAAAGCAAAACTATAGGGCCAGAAAACCTATCAGTGGTTTGCAAACATTTGTAATTGCAAACAATTTCTAAGAGGTTCACAGACCACCTCTGGCCCTCGACCCTGCCTGCATACTACTCTGTTTTCAAGGCAGCCACCAATCAGTCTCTTTCCTCCTACCTCCAGCTCCTTCCTGTGCCCTATCCCGATTTATATTTAGTGCTATGGTTCTTGAAACAGTATTGGACCGTACTTCATGGGCAGAATGTTTATTTTCTCTCCTCAGATACTGCTTCCAGGGGAAACATCCATCTGAAATTTTGGCGTAGGGAGAGTGGCAGATTGCCTTACTCCGTGATTTCCCCGGGTCCATTAACTTCACCATTGTGCTCAGACCTGAGCAAGAGCCATTTGGGAGAAGGATGCGATAAGGAGCCCAAAACAAGGCAGGTACTTAAGCTTCCATCTCCCACATCAGGAGCCTGGCGACAGTGAAGTCGTTGGTCACGGAAACCCTCCCCAACCCAGTTTGTGGAGGGAAATTCTGACTTTAATCAGTTCCAGTCACCATACCTTCCTCTTTTCTTCTCTGTCATTCATTCATTCATTGACTGGATGCTACAACACTGATTGGGACAGACATACAAGCTGCCCTCAAGGCGTTTACAGTCGAGCACAGAGTACGGGGGAGTTACAGCACGGTGTGGGAAAGGCCCTGCCCGTGAGGCACGGCCTGCAAGCGGAAGGCGGAGAAGGGGCTCCTGGCGCCGGCGTCTTCCCAGCACTCTCCTATCCCTGCGTTTTCTACGATCTGCGGGTTGCAGGCCTGCAGCCGCCTCTCTCGGCGGAAGAACGCGCAGGGACCCGGCCCCTGTGAGAACAGCTTCTGCTGGGACTTGAGGGGCCGCCCGCCAGGGCCGTTCTCCACAGCAAGGACGGCGGCGCAGCCGGGGTCTGGGGGGAAGCCGGGCGCGACGACCCCTCCCAGGCCGGCCCGGAGCGGGGGCCGTTCCCTTAGCGATCGCGGGCCGGGCCGGCGGGGGCGGGGCCGGGCGAGGGTGAGCCAGGCGGGAGCTCCGCCAGGCCCAGCAGCCGCGGCGAGCGGGTCTCGGAAGGGGAAGGAGGCGCGGGCCGGGCCGGCAGGCGGGGCTGCCACGTGGCGCCGCTCGAGGCTGCGCAGCGTGCGGGCGGGAAGGAGGGCGCAGCCGCCGCGGGAGGGAGAGGTGGGCCCGCGCGCGCGGCTCTGCTGCCTGCCCTCGCGGGACGGCGGGGCGCGGCGGAGCCGGGGCGCGCACTGCAGGGCACTGCTCCCCGCCCACCTGGCCCGCGGGGAGCCGGGAGGTGTCTTCTTGCCTGTGGGAAATGAGACCCGAAATTAGAACCGGGGAAGCCTTCAGCCTTCCCCGTCCTGCAGCCAGCTCATGTGTCTCAGATCGGATGAACCATAACATTTTAAAAGATAGATTGTCTTATAACTGGGTTCGTTTAAGGATAACGGGTTACATTTTAACTTGCGGCGTAGGTAGCGATTACAGCTGGGTTATTGAAAGCAGCTCACTCCAAGCCGTCATCCTCGATCACACTGCCATTGCTGAGGAGCAAGGCTTTAGATGTGAGTCGATTCCTAATTCTCTAACAAATGCCCTTGTTCTGTTTTAGGTCCTTGGCAAAGACCCATCGTTGAGCGGGGCTCTAGTGCGGGCTGTCCTGCCAATAACTTATAAGCGACATTTTCAAACTATGTGAAGAAGACTTATTCTTCTGTGATGGAGAAGTATGAAAAAATTGGGAAAATTGGCGAAGGATCCTATGGGGTGGTTTTCAAATGCAGAAACAGGGACACGGGTCAGATTGTGGCCATCAAGAGGTTTCTGGAATCAGAAGATGACCCTGTCATAAAGAAAATCGCCCTTCGAGAAATTCGCATGCTCAAGGTAATGGATTCTTTGAAGTGAATTTTCTGAGATAAAAAATTAAAGTAAGGTGTGTTATATTAAAGAAATGCCTTGAGATGTAGTCATAGACTTTTGCTCTCAGTGACACAAGCGGGATGTCAATGCACAAGTTCCCAATTATATAATAAGCTAGAAAGCAGAGCCGGAGGTGCAGGGAAAGGTGGTGGTCACCTTCAGAGATGCTGTGGGGCATTTTCTTTTCTTTGCTAGTCGCTTCTTTCCCATGTCCTCTGTAGATCTGGTTCCTCAAGAGCCATCAACCTGGAGAGAACAGGAACAGCACAATTCAAGTAGAATTCATTATTTTTAAACATGTAGGTTATGTTCTGTTGAAAGTCTCAGTCCATTCAGAGAATTAATCATTCACCTGTTTTCAACATGCTAGGAAGCTGACATGCTGGGTTTTCATTCCCACTTGCATTTGTCTACTGCTAAGCATCATAATGCCCTGTCTGTAGATGGACCTTTCTTAACTAGGTGAAATGATCACTTAAAAAATATTTATTAGTTAACCCTAGGAGACTATTATACAGTGGAGTGGACAGGTTGTTTACTCCAAGTTGAAAGTATTTTTTCCTGTAGTGGAAGAGGTTTCTTTTCTGAATTTCTGTGAAGATGAAACCCAAATCCGAATGTAAATATGACATGTAATGAACACAGTGGGGTTAGCTTGGTTTCAGACAGTTTGGCCTTCTGCGTTGTGACGTGTATAACTAACTCTATGAGAAGAAAAGAGCAGCCAAGTGGGAGATGAGTGGGACATCCAGGGGATTTTCTCTTATCCTTGCTTCTCCACAAGACCACCCTCAAAGTCTTATGTTCACCATGAATTGAGTGTGTGGGGTGATCTCTTGATAAGGACCCTGAATGGGAAGTGGCAGGCTTTGGATAAATTAAAATGGGTGGATAATAGGAAACCTTTCTCTATTTGGGTTTAGGATGTTCTTTAGCAGCAGGATGTTATCTGTTCTGAAAAGACACTTCTAAAGCTCCCTTCCCTCACTAGTGCTGCACAAGAAAGGGGTCAGAAAAGCAGTGCTCTGCCCTGCTCTCTACAGAGGGACAGATGCTCAGCATTTCTCTTGGGCTGATGGGCATTTTTCACTGTCTCTGTCATTTCCTAGAGGAGAAAGTGAATTGGATTTGGATTTATTTATAAAGATGATCTGTTTCTGGTGGAAAATACTGTTTCTCTGACTTGTAAGGTCAACTGTGAATGCCTCTGAAACCTCTCACCGTTCATTAGCAATACTGTGTTTACAGGTGTAGCTTCCTGAGTTAAGATGGGGAGCTTGCCTCTGTATCTCTGTATCAACTACATGGCACATAGTAGGCCTCCAATAAATGTTATTGTTGGGTTGAAAAAAAATGTTACTAAATTAGCACTTAGAAAGGGTAGGTGTTGCCATAAATAGGAAGTCAGATGCATTCTCTTAAATAACTTAATATTGATGTGCTCAGAAGGCTGGAGATGCATGCACAGGAGTCTTATTTCAAAGCACATAACAACCCATTCTCCAAAATGAAGTGCACAGGTGTACACTCCCCTAATCTATGTGAGATGCTGGGATTAGATTATTGGTAGAGTCTGTCCCTTCAGAATTCTGTGATGTTCCTACCACATGATGGGTTTTTAGATATTTGCTGAATAAATGAATTGAGGGTCTTTTAAATGAAGTACTGTTTCCCCCATTTATTTGTTCAGTAAATATTTACACAGCCCCATTGCACATTAAAGAATGTTTTCACCTTGCCTTTCAGACAGTTAACTTGTGGAAGGGAAGTAAGATGGACTTCCTCTCTGCTCTCACTCCTGGCAGACTGGGTTCCTAATAGACAGGGCCTGTTCATTCACCTTGTGTCCCCATGCCTAGTATGAACCCTCTAAATAAAATGTTTGGAGGTATATTTGAACTAGACTTTGAAATACTTAGGGAGGTGTGAAATGAGAGCTATGGCATTCAGGCACCCTCTCCTAGGAGAAGGTGCATAAATAGAAAGCAGTATATTGGGGGAACACAGGTGTTAACCCCAAAGTATTAGCCAAGAAGCCTGCTGGGTGCTAACATGCTAGGGGGAGAATGGAAGGAAAGGAAGTCAGGTCCACTAGGAGGGCTGGGAGATATTTCCTGGGATACAGGTCTGGCCTGGGATATGTCATGATTAGCACATAGCTGCATCTTGGTCCCAGGGAGGCCTTGGAGGTTTGACACCTGACTCCAGGGGACATGTTGTAGTCCCTGAGAACAGGAAACTGGTGAGGTCTAGGGCAAGTGTGTTAGAGCCCCATATGAGCTGGAATGTGGCAACAGGAAGAGGAATACTAAACTGAGCAAAGCATCGCAGGCTCAGGGGAAGGTGGCAGCCCAGTGGCTCAGTGAGTTGGCACTCCTAGGGTTTTTCTTGCATACCCACCAGAGAGCTGGGCCTTAATGAGCCCTGCTAGGGAGTCTAACGAGGACCTAGGAGGCCTGAAGCTGAAGGTGCCTGGTGATCTTAGCCAATGGAGGTGAGGCCAGGCAGGGGCAGACCCCTGACTGCTCGTATCACTGTAAGAAAAACAATAAGAAAAACAAGAGCAGTAGATTAAGACCAAATACACAAGGTTTTGAATTCTACGCTAAAGAGTTTAGCTTTCTCCTGAAAAGAAGGAAGCCAGCCAAGATTTTTTTATTAAAAAGTTGTGATTTTCAGAGTTTTGAATTTCATGGACCAGAAAAATTTCACACACACACTTTTTTTTTTCTTTTTTTGCAGATTGAGATAGGGTTGTGAGCATTTTTAAAACCAACAACCAACTATAATCACCATCACTTCATAAAAGAAAGGGCATTTTTTAAAGCTACATTAACAAGAGAAATTTATTTGGGTATTTGGAATCATGAAAAGTCCCAATTTTGTTAATAAGAAAGGCCATCTTAATACTTTTTAAAAACTAGGGAAGACAAAATTTTAGAAAAAAACTAACATCTATGTATATACACTTCTCTGGTGTATATGAATGTATATGTGTGTGTACTGTTGCCCTTATCTTTCTCATTTCACTATCCATTGATGGAAATGGTGACACCATTTGTTTTGTGCAGCCGAAATTTTGTGAAAGTTAACACTATGTCTGGGAACACAAATATTCCCCAGATCAGATGATGTCACGCTTATAGGATCTAATTCTGATACAACAAAATACTAGCATACAGAAGAGCTGAATAGTCCCTTGGATTTTATAATAGAATTTGTCCTGTGTCTATCCTCAGAGAATTCCTTGTGTGTATGTTTTCTAAACTGTTTATTTAGTGACTTAAAGCAACTCCCAGTAGTTGCTATTGGAGTCTTTTAAAAATTGTAATTGTTTCCTCTCAAGCAGTTAAGATCATGGGACTGAATTGTCCAGCAACGAGTTGTGCAATTTTCAAGGCAGCACATTTATAATGCATCCCATTCCTGGTGTAGAAGCATATATTGTATTGTAAGTCTCCATTGGTATCTTCTTTCACGGATGATAATTATTATTTTTTTAAAAACAATTATTTCCTAAGCTAAATAAAATTCACCATTCAGCTAGAAGTCCTACTGCAGTCAATCCTTTAATGTTTTAATTTTGAATCATGTTGTTTCTAGGTTACATAATTAGGATTTAAAAAATAAACAATTGCTTTAGTTAAAATCAGCTCATAGTCCAAGAACAAATTAAGTATAAATTGACCATAATAAATTATACTGCAGTACCTGAGCTCACAACAACTATCCCACCCTTTCTCAAACTCACCTTCCATTGTGGGGGGAAAAAAAGAATTCAGTATTCTCATTCAGTGTTTTTGATGAGGTGCCCATGTGTAATATAGTTGACATGTGTTCATTTGGCGAGTTTTTACGAACCCCTGTTATGTACCAGACCCTGCTGTGGGTCCTGCCCTCCCAACTAAGGAGAGACTGGCAGTAAACAAATAATTATATGTCAAGTATAAAAATGAAAAATAATCAGAATAAGGGGGTATAGAGAAATGGTGGAGCTTGCTTTTTTTTATATAGGGTAATTACGAAAAGCCTTTCTAATGAATGATGTTTGAAATAAACAAAATGGGAAGATATGACTCCGGAGGGGGAAAAGCATTGCAAGCAGAGGGAATAGTAAGTTCAGTGACCCCAAGGCAGGATCACCCGGTGTATTCTAGGCATGTTCCGGTATGTTCTAGGAGGAGCAAAGAGATCAGTGTGCCTGTAGCAGAGTAAGTGAGGGTGAGGATCATAGGAGATGGAGTTAGAGAGGTAAGGGGGTCAGACATGAGGACCTTGTGGTCCATGATAGGGACTGTGGATTTTACACTGAATGAAATAGGGGCCGTTAGAGGGTTTTGAGCAGAGGGGTGCTTTGTCATGACTTACATTCTAGAAGGATTCCTCTAGTTGCCAGTTTTTCCAACTCCAAAAACAGGAATAACAGTTAGAAGACTGCTGGAGTAATCCAAGTCTGAGGTGATGGGGTCAGAGTGGTAGCAGTGGAGGTGGTTGGATTCAAGACTTATTTTGAGAGAAGAACACTTAGGGATCTGATGGTTGGATGAGGAATCAAGACTCCAAAGTTTCTGAATAACTGGAAGAACAGAGATTATCCATTGTGATAGGGAGACCCAGGGGCAAGTTTGGGAGAAAGGAAATCAAGAGTTCTTTTTTGGATATGTTAAGTTTGAGATGCAAATCTAAAGAGACTATAAGGCAGGTAATTAAATACACAAGTCTGGCTTTCAGGAGAAAGTCCAGGATGGACATATAAAGTTGGGTGCCATCAGCATGCCAGTGGCACTTAAAGCAGTGAGACCGGTTCTCCTGGGGGAATGGAGAGACAGGTACCAAAGACTGACCCCTGTCACTCCAGCACTTAGAGATCAGGAAGGTGAGGAGGAACCAGCAAAGGAGACAAGAAGGGTGAGGAAAATCCCAGGGGCAATGTTATTAAAAGGTTGGTGAAGACAATATTCTAAGAAGGAGGGGATGGTCCTAGTGTCTAAGATCACCATCAGTACAGACTTAGAATTAGCCATTGGCTTTGGAAACCTGAGAATCTTTTGAGATCTGGATAGGAGCTATTTGGGTGGAGTGGTAGGAAGAAAGCTTTTCCAGAGAAGTTTCAGGAGAGAATGAGAAGAACAAAGTGGGGATGGTACTATAAGCAACTGTTCTGAGGAATTTTATTATAAAAGGAAGCTGAGAAATGGGATAGTAGGAGCTTGATAGGATGGTAAGATCAACAGAGAATTTTTGTAGTCGTTGCTTTTAATATGGGAGAACTAAGTATATTTTTGTGCTAATGGTATCAGTCCAGTAGAGAGAAAACTTGATGTTATTGGAGAGGATTCCTGGAGCTAGGACCTGGAGTTACCCACCTGAATCTTGACCAAAAATAGCTGTAACAGCATAATAAAAGACCAATTCATGGACTAGCTAGGAGATTTTATCTGGAATGTTGCTAGGTTCTTTATTATACTGGCCTTAATCTTTACGTAGCAGTTGTCTCCAGGGTGAGGGTGCAGAACCTCTTCCCCCGGGACGGACAACAGCTTCTGATTTGCATATTGCCCATGAACTCTTTGGGAAAAAATCTAACTCCTTTCCATAACTAGGGTTCAAACATATGAAAATACTTTGAATGGGAAGTGGAGTGGTCATGACAGAAGCCAGATTACAGAGAGGCAAGATCCCTATGAGAAAATCACCTTAAATCCAGAAATCTGACACGATAGGTGGTAGTCATCACAAGCCCTGTAGGGGGAAGTGAGCACTGGCTCTGCTAACGCAGGTGGCTGTTACTGAACCCAGCCCAGCTCCCTGGGGAGTGTCAATGTGTCCAGAAAGAAAAGGACTACTGGTTCAAAACAAACATGAACCAACTGACCCAAAATAATTGTATTACTAAGGTTCCAAGCCTTTATGATGCTGTATCTTCTCTCTGTGGAATGATAATGGTAGAACTCTCGTGGGAGGAAGCAAAGAATTCAACCAGCAATGGTAGGAGTAGATGCCCCCAGCAGAGTTGAGATGAAGGACAGGACAGAGGCACCTTGAGCTGCCTGGGTGGACCTTCAACAGTGTGGCAGATGGTACAGGGGCCTTAGAGTAGATCAGACCAACATCAGCCAAGGGCTAAAAGCAGCAGCTAAAGGACATTGTCTGTGACAAGCCACCCTCCAGAAGATAAGAAAAACGAGAGACAAGAAAGGAGAAGGAATCACATATTGACATTTGGCGACCCAGTAGACTTGGGCAAGGGCCAATATTGTTACCTAGGATGTACAAATTACATTTATAACAACCTTAGAAGGTAAGTATTGTTACCCTCACTTACAGATGGATTTAGGATGGCTAATGATTTGCCTCTGGTTAGTAAGCTGAATGCAGACGGGCTCTGTCAGTCCCCAAGCCCATGCCCTGCTGCTCCCGCCATGCTATACCAGCTCCCAGGGACTGAGCCTCAGGACTGACTCCGCCCTCACACTGGCAGGGACTTTGCTGTGGGACCCAGGGCTGCCATGGAACCTGAGTGCAGATTCTTACAGGAACAGCAGCTCCTTCCAACTCTCCTTCCATAAGCATGTAGATGATTTTAAAAGTCAAAAAGTTACGGTTTGTCACCAACAGAGATAATAAGTATGGGGGGAAATGTCCATTTAAAACTTTACTATAAATATTATATGCATTCTTAGACCAGTATCACACCCCAGAAGATGAAAATTTGTTCTGGGGAGGTGGAAGGAACCTAGCTTTTTTATTGCAGAATGCACAATTATACACAAAGTGCACATACAGATACACAGTGTATTTGTGGAATTAAAATTTCACTCAGAGGCGATTAGGAAACAGTGCAGAAAGGCTCCTTTGGGGGACAAATATGACAAACAAGGGTCCACGGGGTTTGGGAAGGTGATGTGTACCATGTGCCAGAAATGTGCTTTCCTTTGATGTCAATGAACCATGAATAGTAAAAACCTAGACAGTGTCTCTGGAGTGTTCCCTTTTTTTCCTACTGCCTCTTCACTTTCAGTAACCTTCCAGTGAGGCTGTGGGGCCGAGTGATTTCATGCGGACCGGAGTCACAGTTAGGGATAGCAGTTTCACATCTGGCTCAGAGCTGTTGGGTGCCCTTGGGCAAGCTCCAGAGGCCCGGCCACCCATTGCCCTGCTTTATGCCTGTTTGGCATTGCTTTGCTGACGTTTTGCTGAGGGGAGCAGGGATCTCGGACCGCACATCTAACAGTAGCCAAGCAAGGGCAGGAAAGAAGAGGGTCATGAAGAGCAGTGGCATAGGAGGGAAAACCACCCAGGTGGGGAGGCAGAAAGGTGGGATTTAAACATGGGTGGCGCTAGAGGTGAAGCATTTCATGTGGTCTCTCCCAAGAGGTTCACTATTTCTAAATACCAGACCAGACTGGGCAAATTACCATCCCGCAGATGGTAGGTGCTGTGGGAAGTACTAATATCAGGGTGTGCTGTTATCCAAAGCATTTATTAAGTGCTTAATTCCAGGTGCTCTTGTGTCAAGGCCACACTCAGCACTGAATATAACGTTAGAGTAGATGCAGTAGATGCTCCCTAGTACTAGAACCTAGTCAGAGCTTTCACAGCTGTTAAGCCTTCTGCACTCCCAATATTAGTTGAATTATCTCCCAACTTAATACTGAGTCTCAGTGGGAAATCCTGTGACATCTTTAAGAATTGAGTCCTGCTGTTGCTAGTAGGTGCCATTTTCTAGGTGTCTTCTCTTCAAATTGTTTGATTGTTGAAATGAGTCCATAATTTATTTCTATAAATTGTTTTAGCTATGTTCAGCATTCCCTATTATGGTTTATATGAGATTACAAACTCAAGTCTCTGTGGGGATAAACTGGTAACATAAATGAATGGAGCAGGCCAAAAGTCAGACAAGATGGAGAGGTGGAACTAGGGCAAGCTGGAGACTTCCTGTCTCATGTGAACTGGGTAACTACCACAAGCCCAGGGTGCTTGATTTTCAGAATCTTTTTTTAAAAAGCTAGAAATAAGAATTTTATGTAAAATCTGGGTTTTTCTGCACAACTGTTTTGAAAAATATTACAAAACATAAAGTGGAAAGAACCCAATGAATGCCTGAGTCCTTTCCACTAGATTAGTCAGTTTTTAGAATTCTGCTCTATTTCCTTTCTGTCTCTCTCCCTGCCTCCTTCTCTCTCTCTCTTTCACACACACACACAATTCTTTGACTGAATCATTTCCCTGAGTATGCAGCATTATCTTCTTGAACAAAAGGCATTTTTCTGTATATGTACAATATGATTTTCACACTGCAGAAATTTATCACTGACTCAATATTATCATCTAATATAGGCTGTATCAAATTTAATTTAAAACATTTTAAATAAATTAAAGAATCTAATCAATGAGCATATGTTTGCATTTAGTTGCCATATCACTTTAGTCTCTTTATAATTTTTATATTGAAAAAAACCTTTCCTTCACTCACACCTCAGACACACACTTTTTAGTATCACTGTGAATTTATGGGCTTTTTCCCAACACATCACAAACCATCACTGCCACTCTCCTTTTGGCTTTCCAGTTGTCATGTCTTTGGTCCTGTGGGGCCCCATGGATCCAGCTCCTTTGTCCTGACACATGCCCCCCATTCCTGCCCACACTTCCTTATTGTGTATCACAACAGAATGTCCCAGGCTTTTCTTGCCCCAGCTCTGGAATCAGTCATTTTTCCAAAGAGCCCTGGTTCCTTTTAGTGAGAATAAAATCTGACTTTAAAATGCTGACAAGTAATTTTATAAAAAATTAAACACCATTCAGGCCAAACAGAACACATCTGCCACTAATTGTTGGCCTGCAGGCTGTTTTGGGCCTTTGGGTTATACAACTTCAGTCATAGGCAGACGTTTTTCTTAGAGACGGGCGATGTTCATTACTAATATATTGATAGATGTCGGACCTTACAGAAACTGGCTGTCAGTAGCATAGAAGACAGAGCAGAGCATTTCCTTGCCCACAATGATAGAAACCAAACAAATCCTCCTTATCATCATCTCTCCCTACTTGTTCAACAAGTGGAGACCTGTTGAATTTTTTTTTAAACATAACATACTAACTGTAAATAGTAACAGACTGTTCTGTTTGTTTGTTAGAAGATCTTTTGGCTTAGTTCACAATGTGTTTATCTAAAAAGATTGTATTCCTGCTGTGTAGTGAACTCCTAAGTAATAAAGCTGCCACACAAATACTTCAAGAACAAAAGAAGCAGAAATCAACAGGCTGGCTCCTTACCTTTATACAGACACCCAGTTTGTAAGGAGATTAAGCACATACTGCCATCTGTCAGTGCCCAAAAGGCTCCTACACACATCCTGCCATTAGACTCTAGAAAAAAAAATATTACAGATCAGGAGGAGGCAGAGTAAGAGATTTTATAATGCACACTGATACAAAATATAACTATGCCATTGCTTTTTTTGCCCCCTATTTTTATTTCCAGCAAATAAAAGTTATAGACAAACTGTGTTACATATAGTAATTATAAAAAAGTCAGACCATACTAGAAGATAGTACTTTTTATGTGGAATGGAAAATTTGCTAAGTGGTCCAGTCTTGTACTTTTCACTTTAAACTTTTTTCATGTTTTAATTTACCTGTTTGGTGGGATCGATGTTTCAGGTCACAAATTTGCCTCCACAGGCATATTTGCTTGCTAATTATTAACCTTCTTTATTACTTATTAACTTTAAAAGCTCTGTACTGCAAATGCTGTTGGATAAAATTGCCTAGTTGAAAATCTTTGAACTCAATTACTCTTTTTGTTAGAATAATGAGAAGTGAGTTTCTAAGCCACCTTATGCTAACAACCATACATAAAAACCAAACAGTTTGTTTTATAACTGTCAGTGCATTGCTGCATTAATTTTTGGCTAGCATTGTTAATTTTCATTTTGATCACATTTTTACTGCTTCTTTCCTGGTACTTTTCATATACTTTTTTAATCAATGAAAAAGATGGAGCGCCTACTATGCAAATACTTAGCCTGTGCTGGGCCTTGAGAGGAACCCAGAAGAGACCTTGGTGAAGGTCCCTGGCCAGACGACCAGCCTGGCACATTCTGTTTCATCTATGTTGCCTACGGCAAATCTAAAATAAATAAACTTCATGCCCCTCTCCACTTGGAACTCCAATTGGAATTCCAGCTTTTCCAATACTTCTGACCATATGTCACACCATCTCCTTCTCTAGCCATCCCTGGAAAAAAAAAATATTAGCCTGGGTGTCTACATGAGGCTCTTGGCATTTGGAGGAAATGTGGGATCAATTCAGCTTTCCTTTCGCAAAAGAGGGTTAAAGAATGATTGCTCAGCACCACCATGAGGGGTGCGGAATATTTTCCTGTAGATTGGAGATGGTAGTAATAATTAAATAGCTTTTTAAATAATGAAAACAGTTATTCCTCCTATAACTGATGTATTAACTAGTTCACTGAAATGAACTTCAAAATATTTATCTTGGTTTTATAGTATAGCAGGTAGACATATGCAAATCATTTGTAAAATAAGTTTTGCTTATGTAAGAAGAAACCCTGAAGGTATAGAAGATTGTAAAGTGAAAAGTACATCGACCTTGCCCTTCACCAGCTATTCTCATTGCCCAAACACAGTCTCGTGTGCTTTTCCAGAAGATTTCTGTGCTTGTGCAAAAGCACATATTTCCTTTTTAAAAAACAGATACAAATGCTATCATATTGTATCAAATCCATATTACTCTGGTTTTTTACACTTGGTACTATATCTTGGACATATTTTTAAGTCAACACATATAGATATGCCTTATTCTTTTTTAACAGTTGCATACTATTTTATCATTTAAATGTACTATGAAGTCCTATATTTAAGTAATTACCTATTGATGGACATTTGTGTTTTTCCAATGGCCTATTATGTATACATAAAGCTCTGCAAATATGAGAGAATTTGGGGGACAGAAAGCATGATTTCCACAAGTAGGTCATTGGGAATGATGATGAGAGTCAAGTCCTACTTTCCTCCTTGTCCCCAAACCTATGAATTCGCTCCTGATAACACAGCACCATATGGCCGCTGGTATAATGCATGCACCCTCAAGGGGCTGTGGTACAAATTCCATGGTTCTGTTAGGCTGGCTGGTGTAGGTGAGGAGGTATATGATAGAACCTATGGATCCCATTCCATGTGCTAGTTGTCATACCTTCTTTGCTGTAAAATAGACCCCTTGGTCTGATATTGGGTGGACCCCCATGCAACACAGGCATTCTCTAAGCCTTGGATTGTGAAGGCAGGAAAGGCAAAACCCCTATCTAGAGTTAGTATAAATTGCAGTAAGGACATCACTACCCCTTCCACATAGCAGCTGGTCTTCTTAGAGGACATTGCAGATGAGCACCTCAGTACTGTTTTTGCTACTGGCAGGTTGGATACTCAGCAGCAGCAGGAGCCAGTGAGCCTCAGAGACAGGGAGCCAGTGCCGTTGGGCCTGCATAACCACCATCCCTGAGCCAGGGCCACTCTGTTCATGGGTCACTTACACAAGCACTGGCGTGGCCAAGGACAGAGCAGGCTGACACCCACCAGAGAAGACATCCTCTGCCTGGTTGCTAAGTGCTTCCCCTGCAGTGGATCCTCTCTGGTGGGCATTAATATGGGAGGCCCGGAGATCCTCAAGCTCTGGGCTCACCGCCACAAGTACAGTTTATGCCTCTTCTCCCAGTGATCTTTCAGTCCTGTTCCTTCCAGACTCTTTATCACTGAACAAGCTGTTTGCCACCACCCACAGGTCCATGCATATCTCAGGTCCTTTCTTCCTCTGCATAAGGGGAACCATCAAGTGTACCACTTGAAGCTCTGCTTAGTGGAGGATTCCCTTCCGCCCTTGAACTTCAAGGCTTCTGCTAGTGGGTCTTTAGGATGGTGGCAGTCCATTTTCAGTTAGTGCCAACATAATGGGCTGGTCTATCTGTGAGCAGGACCTGAAATTTTTTCTCTTCCATTACGTGGAAACTCCCATTACACTATACGTGTAAGTTGAAGGAGAGACAACAATAAAAATTGATGACATGGGAGAATAGGCCACTTCTTTTTAAACTTTTTTGTTCTCTTCAGACTGCTTGAGCCCTGGTATATAGTTTTCATGGTATAGTGGACTGGTGCCTCCACGCAGTCTTATGGCAGTGGATCTCTGTTACCCATTTCTCAGTGGGAAGTTCTGGGTCGCTTAATCACTGATATCAAGGGCAGCTGCTCGGTCTCTGTTAGGACACACCAGGAGCTGGTCACCTCCAGCATGACTGGATGAACCTGAGTGGTAGGGCAGCTTTGACCTGCTGTAAGGTTCTCTCTTGCTTTGGATCCTGCTCAGTGTCCAGATCATGGTCTATTAGACAAGTATTCCCAAGGGCTATACATGCTGCCTCCAAAATCTAAAGAGACCCACCCCCCCAAGCACAATGCCTCTTTTTTAGTGGTGGGAGTACAAGGTGCAATACGTCCTTCAGAGGGAATGTCTCAGCATGCCTCAGGCCATTGGACTCCGAGCACAGTACCCATATGCCATGCCCAAGAGCACTTCCTCCCACCCTCTGACATACATGTGTCTTAACTGGACACTCAGAGTACTTGTTCCAGTAGAGACACCACATCTGGCACCTGCCTCAGTGAGGTAGTTTCAGGTCCGTGTAAGAGGAAGCATTTTACTTTGGGCAAAGGCAGAAGCTGCTTCTTTCAGCCCAGACGTTTCAGGGAAATTTGAGAGTTTCCAATTCTCAAGCTCATCCCCCTGAATGTCCTTGTTCTGCATCTCAGCGTCCCTCTCTTTTGTCTCCAGAGCCCTGACTGTGGCCTCAGAGCCCCACTGAGGCTGTGCCTTGTGTCCTCTGCATCTCTGCTACCTTAAAGTTAAGTTCTGAGCCTGATTTTAGCATGGTCTGTCTTGCATCTATAGGAGGTAAATGTCTTTTTAAATACTGCCTAGAGGCCTTGTGACTCCCACAGTTGACTGGTGGCTAACCTAAACCTGTCATTTTCTCTTTTCTTTTTTCAACAACCTAAAGGTGTTAACAAAAGCCAGCTCATTCAAGTCCTTATAATTACCACTGCCCATACTGCTCACGGGCGACAGCTATTGCATAAGCCAGCCTACACCTCATTCAAAACCACCACTGGTGACAGGCTCAGTATTTCTGTTGCTGCAGTTCCCCAGAGCTCCCTTTTGCCCCACTTGCCACCAGCAGTGGGGTTCTTCTTACAAAATCCCATCCTGCAGGTCCAAGAGCTAGGGCCACATCTGGCACCAACTGTCTTGGCCTGTGTGCCTCCCAGAGGGGAGAGCCTGAGACGGGGGATTGCATGTAGGAGTTCATTTTGGGAGGCGACACCAGGGAGCTGCAGTAGTGGGCAGGAGAGAGGGAGATAGGGGAAGAGGAAAAGCCACTGCAAGGAGACACCAGGGACTCGTCCTGCCGGGTCTGAGGAGCCTGAGGACCAGAGGAGAGGAGTATTTGCCCGCTACTTCTGGTCTCCCATGGGTTCAGGGTTCCCCCCGGGGAGTGGTAGCTCCTGTACGTTGGAACTGTCCCACCAGTGTTCCATACCTCAGCATTCCAGAGGCCCTGGGCAGAAAGCAAAAGATACAGAATGCAGCCGAAGCAAGGGGCTCTCAGTTACATCTGCACAAAGCTGGTCTCTGCAGCAACAGTTAAAAAGATGGGCAGAAAGGGTGGGAAGCGGGACAGGAGAGGTGACTAAAACACGGAGCTGCTTGCTGTTCCCCAGACACTCCAGGCAGTTCCCACAGGAGAGCCTTTGGAATAGTAAGTAGTTCCTTGTGCCTGGAACGTTTTCCTGGACATCCTCATACGTTTACATCTTCAGATCTTTTTTTCCTTGTTACCTTTTCAGTGCAGTCTTCCCTGATGACCTGTTTTAAATTGCACCCCCCACCATGCTACCATGCCCCCTACCTTCTTTATTTCTTTCTCTAAGACTTATTGCCGTCTAACGTGATCAAAGGTAAGCTCCCTGAGAACAGAGGTTTGTGTCAACTTTGTTAAATATAACCTCAGAGCTTAGAATAATATCTGGCACAGAGTAGGGCTCAGTATGTTTTTGAATAATAATAATAATGAATACATGAAAATGGAAGCACTTTTCATATTTTTCCATATAATTTTTATCTTCATGTATTTTTACAATACTCAATAGCTTCTATTTTAATATGTTTTCATAAAATTTCTCAGTAGCTTATCTTCTTCACTCAACAATACATCATTGTCTTCAGGTCAATAGATAGAACTCTATTAATTTACTTACTTTTAATAACTGCATATTATTTCATGTTTGAATTTGCTACAGTTTCTTTAGCCATCCTCCTTTATTTAAGGATGTTTGTGTTGTTTCCAATGTTTTGCTTCCACAAACAATTCTGCAATAAATATTCTTGTACATATATCTTGATGCAATGGTGTTTATTTACACAAGGTGTATTTCCAGAAGTGGTGTGCTGGGTTAAGAGGGTGTGTGTATGTGCATGTGTGTGCATGTGTGTGTGTGAGTGTGTCATTAAGCTTTATTTTTAGAACAGTTTTGGATTTACAGAAAAATTGAGAAAATCATACATGGAGTTTCCATATACTCTGCATCCAGTTTCACCTATTATTAACATCTTACATTACATTAGTGTGGTACATTTATTATAATTAATGAACTAATATTGATACATTGTCATTGATAAGTTATTTAGATTGCCTTAGTTTTTACCTAATGTCATTTTTCTGTTCCAGGATGCCATCGAACATACCACATTACATTTAGTTGTCATGTGACCCTAGGCTTCTCGTGGCTGTGACAGTTTCAGGCTTTCCATGTTTTTGATGGCTGTGACAGTTTTGAAGAGTCAGGAATTTTGTAGAATACCCCTCATTGGAACTTGGTGTTTTTTCATGGTTAGACTGGAGTTACAAGTTTTGGAGGAGGAAGACCACATCACATCATATCAAGTGGACATACTGTTAATACTGATGTTGACCTTCACCTGCCTGAGATGTTTGTCAGGTTTCTCTACTATAATTTTTTCTGCC